GCTTGACTTTCTTCTTGACATACTGTCTCAAGATAATTGTTCACAAAACTATAATGATGTTATAATGATGTTCCTTATTCTAGATTTTAATTAATATCCCCTGCCCTGTAACTACAGGCTAAAAATTCCCACAAGTTTTAATGCAACATTCTTCAGTCCCACTCCACATTTATTTTCTGTTTCTACTACAGTATTTACCTTAGCTACTTCTAAAAGTAAGAAGTTAGAAACCATCTATCAATCAATAAAATTAGTCAGGATGTAAAATCAAAATACAGCATAAACCCTTCTATTATAAATTTATTTTGTTCCCCGCTTAATGAATACTGTTATGTAACAATGGTCATTTTTAACCAGGGTTGCATTTTTTGTTATTTACATTTTTCTTACATACACACAGGCAAACACTCATACACTTAAATAAAAAATAAAGGATCCCCTGAAAGTGGAGTTACAGGCAGCTATGAGCTGCTCAATGTGGGTGCTGGGAACCAAAGCCAGATCCTCTGCAAGAACCACTGAGCCATTTCTCCAGTTCCCCAGCACTGCATTTGAATGATCCTAAGAGCTTTACAGAAGTAAAACTGGTAGTATTCACTTTGAAGGTCTATAACATAAATAGAACGTAAAGGTTTCATTTAACTCTGTTCTAAAAGCAGCAAAGAAAATTATAGTTGAAGGAGTGATTAGTTCTATTTAAACTCTAATTTTCTTCTACTTTTAGAGTAAGAGATGTTTAATAAGTTCTATACAACCACATAACTCTGCCTCAAATCAACCCTTTAATGTCTGGTTAAGTGAATGTAGCATAGAGCCATCTTTGAATTCAGCATTTATCTAATTCTACACCAGTAAATTATCAAGTACTGCCAGTTCTTTCTCTTTAAAAACTGGCTATTTTTTAAATACCCCAATCTCTCATCTACTTCACTGCAGGAGCCTCCTAATTGGTCCCCTAATTTCATTCTTTCTTCCAACAAACCATTCTCCACAGTGTGGCCCGTGCTCATGGATGTCATACTACCCCACTTCAAAAATGAGCTTTGATTTATTTCTATATTCTGTTCCCTATCTCAGACCTTTCAAGAACTCTCACACCTGCTCACATCTCAAAGAAAACATTTATCACATTTTAATTAATGACTTATTTAATGGTGGCATTCTGTATTGGATTTGTAAGGCTGATGAGAAAAGGACTATCTTGGATAATTCTAATATTTCATGAATAAATGAAGTTACATACAAGTTGAGCCCTAAATTTTCAAGTAGTCCTTAGAAGGACATCTATACTTCTTTATACACAGAAACTATTTACTTAAAATTAATTAAGCATATAATGAACTACAATAAAATATATACAAATATAGTCTAGCTATACAGTATTTGTTTTATTAAATCAATATATGCATATAAATATAAGGCTTGAAAAGTTTTAATTACTTAGACTAATTAGCTTGTCACAATACTGATAAAGTTCGGTTTCAATAGTCATACTCAGCAAAAATTTACCATTTTGGAAGCCTAAAAGGACAAATTATCATTTATGGCATTCCTGAAATTAGGCATAATCAAAGAATGTTATGTTTTTACATAATTACATCTGAATTAACATTATGAAAATAACACACAAACTTGTTATTCACATTTATTACTAATATCTAGCAATTCATTTTTAAATATAAATTTAAATACATCTGTACATATATATATAACTTTAATATAGCTTATATACAAAGATATACATATGTATCAAGTAAACATACATGCCAAAATTTTTGAAAACTTTACACTGGCCTGGAACTCACTATACAGACCAGGCTGGCCTCCATTTCTGAGAGACCCACCTGCCTCCTGATTGCTGGGGCTAAAAACGTGCAACACCACGCCTAGCTAAAATAAAAACGTTTTTTAAAGTATAAATGTATACTATCTCAAAACTAGAATGCTATACTAATTAATGATTATAAGTATTAATTTATATACAAAAAACTAAGATCAGTAAAATAAATTTGAAACAGACGCATTACTATTAAAAGAATTCCCCAGCTAGATAATTTTGGAATATACTCTTTTGTGTTCACGGATGAAATCATAAGCTGATATTTGTATAAATGTTTAAGGTACAAGCATTCAGAAAATTAAAATACTCTTCTAAGCTTTCTTTTTAGGTCATGCTCTTTCCAGAAAAAAAAAAAAATCCATACTTACAAATATATCTCATTGGGTAACCATGAATTAAAAACAATGCCAACTTTGTCTCAAATTTTCATGAAGAGGATAAACTGCAAAATCACATCAAATGGTGTCCATCATAAATAAACTGATTATGTTAAAAATACTTTGAAAAATTTTTTTAAAGAAATCAAGAAAAGTGGTATCTCTCTTGCTTATGCACTGACCTGATGTTCAGTGTATGAGGGTGATTTAACCCATTAATAACTCTGCTTTACCACTCAGTTATTTTCTTGACAATTCTATAAAGCACATCACCATTTTATGTGAGAAAGCATATTTCAAGAGTATGCACACTACTCATTTTTACATGAAACCAAGATGTATGTATCTACTTTACAAAGTGATTTTTGTACTTTAGAATCTGTTTCTTCTATTTCATGGGCATTACTACATCAAGAAAGATACTGGAGCAACATCATTATACACATGCTTGTCTTCCTGTTGTTTTGAAAGTTATGGGGATAAATGTGAAGCTAGAAAAATTTCAAGAGTGTATATAAAATGTATGCTTTCTAGGAACAAGAAAGACAAGAGTTTTGCAGTTTTAAAGAACAATGCAATATAATTTATCTTTTTAAATATATTTCTAAGCAAAATGCAATCAAATAATATGTTATAGAAAAAGAATAGAAATGAAAAATTAACAAGGAACCAGCCATTTTGTGATAAATGAGAAAAGAAGCTGCTTTTAAACTGTTCAGTTTGAAGACGTGATTAACACAGAGGGCTTTCCCAAGTGGACAGGGAAGACACATGGTTTTAATGCTCTTTTGTAGACATATACTGTTTAAACTAGATAATTAGAACTGCTTCCAAAAAAGAGCTCATTACATAAAGGCCATCAGCATGTTTTTGTTTCTATTACTAAGCAAAGCAACTTACCAATTCTTGGGGCAGCGGTGCTACTCTGTTCTGCAGAAGATGATGTACTAAAAGCAGGAATTGGGATTTTCATCTGTATAGGGCCTCGGTTGTTTGATGAGCTATATAGTCCTGACGGGCCTACTGTGGGCAGAGAAGTCCTTGTGGCTTGAACAATAGAATGTGCTGTTGGAACGGCCTGGACAGCGAGCGTTGTTCCTAACGGTGCAGCACTGGCGGGAGAGTTCCTTAGAATACTAGGGCTGGGTACTGAAGGAACGTTGTTTGGTTTAGTGGGATTTGGCAAGGATGGCAAGGATACTGGATTTTTGGTAAGACCACTCACTGCAGGTGGGCTTTGCACAGATATGAATTCAACGTTGCCAGATGGTTGATTAGTCACTAATGTCCCTGGATGGCTTTGTAGGAGCTGAGGCTGAGAGGTTACTGCAACAGGTACATGCAAAATCACTGGCAAAGGCTGTAAGGAGATTGTGGGCTGAGGGTTTCCACTAGGCACCTGGGTAGTAGCAACTACTGTGGCTGTGCTGGGTGCAGGAAGAAGTGGCGCTGCCGTCAGAGAGCCTGAGGTTGCTGGAGTCTGCAGTTTAGGCTGACTACTGACAATCGCTGGAGGAGTGACAAGACTGGCCGAAGACACTGTAGAAAAGAAACAGAGCCTCCGTTTCACAGCTACCTCAATTTACCAGCTACAAGAAATGTGACAGATACAAATTCAATACATTATGTTATACACAGAAGTCTTTCACAATGAAAATATTTCTAAGTTTAACTTCTGGAAACTCAATCTTTAAAAGCATATCTGTACTTATATTTGATATATTATGAAATGCCACATGCTTTAATGTTGATATAAAAGACTGCTACCTCAATGTCAAAACAGTTTTTGAAAGTTACCACATCCACTTCAGAGTGCTAACATGAAAACAACTGAAAACACTGAGGAGGAAATGAAAGTTTGGAGGTGTGTACGAAGCCTCCCTCTAAGCATTTAAATGCCTTAAACATCAGCAATCTATACACACAGGCAGGGAAGCTAGAAGGACCTGACCATTCATGAATATCAAGAGAAGGTGAGCACTATCGTATCATTTGAACCAAAGGAAGCCTGACATCTACTTCTGTTGAGTTCCTTGGGAAAGGAACTATGGAAGGGAGGGAGGATCCCTCTGCTGGTAATCTGTACACATTACATGATAACAAAAAAAGCAATGAATGAAAAAAATGAAAGGGGGGATATACACCAAAGATGGGAAAAATAAATGCTGGTCACAAAAAAGTTACAGTACCTTATCATTCAACTACCTGGGTTTATCACTCAGTGGAGTAAATATGTAACTACATTTACTTCTCATTGATATAGTCTTTCAAAAACCACAGGCATAGAACAGTATTTCAGTGGGGACCTTGCAATAAGTTTACGTCAAGACCATTTTCATAGTGTTAATTGAGACATATGACTTTTTACTGTGTGGGCATTTGGAAAATCAGGGGCAAGTAGAACGTCCTGTGTTCAGCAGGTCCAGTGTACCCGAGGACGCTGTGTTCTACAACTCCCAGTAGATGTATAAACCAGGCAGTATAGAGCCCTACATACACTGTCTTTTCCTATAGAGCCATGCATCCTGTAACAACAGAGATACGTTTGAGAAATGGGTCATTATGTGACTTCACTGCTGTATGGCAATATGACTGCACCAATCTAGGTCAGTTATGTCATTCAATGGGGCAAGTGACACAGTAAATGTGAGATGTATGCAGCAACTACATGCATGAAATGGTACACTGGTAACCATATGCTATTAATAAAACCAACACAGTAGTTGTTATGGATTACAAACTATTCTATGTGCTACACTGCATATGACTGGCAGTGCTACAGGTTTGTTTATATCAGCATCACAACACACTCATGAGCAGGGTGTTGAGCTACAACATTAAAATGGTGACAGCCTCAAGAGCTGGTAGGAATTTTTCAGCTCCATCGTAACTTCACTGGACAGCTGTCTTATTCATTACTGACTGAAACATCATTATGTGGCACATAACCGTACCTTATGGTAAAGCTTAATTTGGAAATTAGGCACAGTAAGAAAATAACAATAATACTTAATAATAAAAATCGAACAATTACAATGATATACTATAATAAAAGCTATGGATTATGGAATTTTCTATTAAATATGTGTAGCCCATGGTAATTAAAAGTACAGAAATGAAATGTGGATTAGGGGAAGCTACTGCACAAAATTCAAAGCAGTACGGTGGTACCAAACAGCCACTGTATTCTTCACTTGCAAATGCTTATTACAGTAAAAAAACAAAATCAAACTTACTTAAAAATGTCCATAAAGATATAATAAAAATGCCAATCTTATTATATCTCAACCCTAGGTAAAAGCATGACCCTTGATAAAGGATGCTCTTACAAGTGCTCTACTTGCCATGGCCTATTGAGGTTCTGGGATTATGATGTTTACCAGGCCCAACTAGACCTTTTTTCTTGAAAGAATGACTTAGAACAATGAGAAAAGCTTAGTGTGATTTCTGACTCTGCTCTGCACTAACCCTACAGAAACTACTACTTAGTATCAAGGAGAGTATCCAGTTCTCTAAAGGGCTAGAGCTTCTACACCTGCCTCCTGGTATGAGCTGGACTTCCTTCCAACATTAAGTCAGTGGACTCAAACAGACTGAGAGCAGACAGAGGTTAAGTAGTTCCCTGTATCTGTCTTAACATCTTAAGCAAAATTTTAAGTAATATGATAAAGGTAGCATAACCCTGTTTTCATTTCAAGTGTGTTTGCTAGTACATATTCATGCATGCATGTGTGCACACGTGTGTACATGGGCATGTGAAGGCCAAAGGACACCTCAGGTATCATTCCTCTGACACCATCTACCTTTTTTGTTTTTTTGGTTTTTTTTTAATATTTTTTTACTTACTCTGACAATTCTAAACATATACGCTATGTCTCTTGGTCATGTCTAACACCCACGCCCCATCCACTATTTTTTTTTTAAGTCAAGGTCTCTCATTGGCCTGGAACACACCATGGACACTAGGCTAACTGGCCAGAGAGCCTATCTCTGCTTTTCTGGTGCTGAGATCACAAGTTTTTCCCACTATACTCTTTTTTAAAAACAGGGGTTCTGGGAATGGAATGTGAGTCCTCAAGCACTTACCAAGCTATCTTCTTACTTTCACTGCTATTTTTAATCTTACAAAATACAGCTATTTTCTACTAAAAAAAAGTTCTCTGTGTGTTTACTACAGGATTATTAATCCTTTTAAATATTTTATTTATTTTTATGTGTTTGAGTGTACTGTCTGTATATATGTGAGTGCACCCGTGTCGTGCAATGCCTCAGAGGTCAGAAGAGGGCTTCGGATTCCCTGGAACTGGAGTTAAGGACTGTTCATAGCCTCCATGTGGGTGCCGGGAATCAAACCTGGGTCCTCTGCAAGAGCAGTCAGTGCTCTTAACCACTGAGCCATCTCTCCAGTCCAGGATTATTATTAATTTAAAAAAGTTTTTATTTATTATTTTTATTTTATGTATACGCATGTATTGCCTGCATGTAGGTAAGTGCACCCATGTCATGCAATGCCCACGGAGGACAGAAGAGGCTTTTCAGTCCCTTCCTCTGGAACTGGAGCTACAGACAGTTGTTAGCTGCCATGTGGGTGCTGGGATTTGAACCCGGGTCTTCTGCAAGAACAGCCAATGTTCTTAACCACTGAGTCATCTCTCCAGTCCCAGATTATTATCAATCTTAACAACAACAACAACAAAGTCTAAAATTTTGTTTTAATTCAATTGATAGTACTAACTGGTTAAACCCAAATAAATAAAATCTGTCTTTTTTAATAGACTGTAAAAGGTTCTAGAGATAAGAAAGTTTGAGAATTTGAATATATGCTTTTGTGCATTCTTATTTATTTTGAATATTTTGGAAAATTTTCTGTATTAAGACCATGTGCCTTGTTTTCTAACCCATCTCCAACCACAGGGGAATAAAAGAAGAGAGCCAAGGCTGGTACTTTAGGCATTAAAACATGTACCTGTATTCACAGGAGTTTGAAAGGGCGCTGGTGGACCCTCACTAACATTTCTTTTGGACTCCAGCATCTGTCGCACTGTGCCTGCATTTCTGTGAAACAGATACACACACAGTCAGTGGTTATGTCATTCTAGAGGGAACTAACTCTAGCATAGGAAAAACAATGGCAAAATTTTGGATTTGAACCCTTCACCTGATGCAAATGCATAATTGGTGCACAGACTTCTAAATGTTAGGATCTACAGCATGACAACACAGTCTATGTATAGGTTCTAATGCCATCAATACACAACACTTAATCTGAAGACCACATACGGGTACAGGCATTAATCAACGACCAAAGCATTGCTCAGTTGCTGAAAACTATTAATGACATGTTTTTAAAAGAAATATGTAGGGTCTTGAGTAGAGTCCTTGACTAACATGTACAAGACCCTAGATTTAACCCTCAGTACTGCAAAAGAATAAAAAGAAAAAGAAAGGCGGATGCAATGACAAAAGACAACATTATAATCATTCAGAATAATATATAACCCATATAAAGGGGAAGTAGAAAAGGTCACTGTTGACCCAATATACCAAAACATTTATCTCTTTATTTACTATCACATTCCAAAAGACTGTTTAGTGAGACCCTTGCTTTGTTATTTAAAAACGACATCAACACTGTGGCTCTCACCGGTAACTCATGCTATTATTGCTGTTGACATCATTGGCAGGCTTTCCTGGTGATATAGGTGGGTTTGGTGGATTCTGGAAGAAAACAGAGAAATACCAAGGTAAAAAACAAAACTCAAACAGGGCTTGGTGGCACACGCCTGTAGTTCCAGCACTAGGGAGGCAGAGGCAGGCGGATCTCTGTGAGTTCAAGGCCAGCCTGGTCTACATAGTGAGTTCCAGGACAGCTGGGGCTACAGGAAATAGAACCCAATATATTGGAATTCTTTAAAAAGAAAAAAGAAAAAGAAAAAAAAAGGCTCTTGAAGTGCTTTCTCAATATATGATCTGATATTTAAATAATTACTAAATAAAACACTGCAGGATCAGACAATGTCGCTTTTTCTTTTTCTATTCCCTTTTGGACGTTTGTCCTCATTACACTCAAAATCCTTCATGGTGCCCATCTCTAAGGCTGTGTTACTCACTTCACCTCTAATGAGGTCCTGTCTCAGTTGACGGTTCGACCCACTGCACTTCTCTCAGCAGCTAACAATTCTCTTAAATGTTTCTCAAGATTCAGTGCACAGATTCCTGTGCACCGTGCTGGAGAAATCCTTTGTACGTGAGGCTGAGTTACTCAAATGCATTAACCAGTAGCCTCGGCTGAGCAGCAAGTGAGTCTGTTGGTTTACTTCTCTGAATCAGAATGGCCAGTGCTGTCTACCTGGAACGATGGAAGGCTGTGCACAAGTTCTTAACTTGCCAAAGGAGCTCTGCAACTTTCCTCATCTGCGGATTGGCTTCCCAGAGCTTCTTTCTCCATTGAAAGACTATTAAATACTTCACTCTACATTTACAACCAAGACAAAACTAAAATACCTGAAATATACTATTGAAATAACAACTGTTGGTCATTCTTCAGTCCCTAAAACAGTAACAAGTTTTCTGTTTTCTCACAGTTCAAGTGAGGAGTGGAGAGCAGTAATTTCTTAATCTCTGACCCTCTAGATTCGGAAGCTTTTCTTCATTTTCTAAATATAAAACTCTTCTAGTTTCCTTTTTCAAAAAAAAATAAATAAATAAAACAGAAACCAGCTTTTCAAACTATGTTTTTGGGGGTAGATTTTCTTGGATCACCTCGTGAAAGTCTGCTACGTTCACTTAGAGTAGGAAACCAGGCATTTTCTTTGTGAATCCTACAGAGTCCACAAAAACTAAGTTACACAGAGCAGCTTTTATCAACAATTATATTGGCCACAGACCTAAGCAAGATCCAGAGTGGTGATGTGGATTCCAACCTGATGAGCAGTGAGTGCCTGCTTGAGCAACTGCTTGGTTCAGGACATGAGAAATAAACATTAAAAAAATAATAATAAAGGGCTAATCTTCAGTTCTAAGATAAGAAATAACTCAGTTTTCACATTATGACAAAGAAACAAAACTTCACAGCACTTGGGAGGCAGATGCAGGTGGATCTCTGTGAGTTCAAGGCCAGCCTGGCCTACACATTGAGTTCCAGGCCAGCTGGGGCTATAGGGAGACCCTGTCTCAAAAAGACAAAAAAAAAGAAAAAAAGAAAAAAAAAGTGAAGAAGATATGAAATAAAAAATGGCAGCTTCTTAGCAACTCTGGTATCTATCTTTAGAAGCCATCAAAACTGTGCACTGCTATTGCTGAGACAATGAGACTCTCGAGAAACCCACGTCCACGCCTGGCTGTGCATTGTCCTTTTGCTAAGCAACTCTCTCCCCCTTAATATCCATGCTTAAATCTGCATCAAAATCTCTTAATAGGCTCCTATTCTTCAACAACAGCAGGAGGAGGAGGAATGAAAATGCATCAATACAGAAAATGCTCTAAGAATAATGATCATTGCTAAAATTGTTAGTATCTTCAATGGTAGTAGTAGTAATTACCACATGCCAGATCAATGAAGACATAGAAATAGAATTTGTTCAAATGAAAACAGATTCAAGTGGAAAAGAAATGCAACTAAATCTAATTTAACAAACAACTGCTATATTAAAATAAGAATAACAGAACAAATAAAGGAGTAACAAAGAAAAGAAAGCAAGTCACTAGAGGACAAAGGCTGAGTTATGTTTAGATTGGATTCTGCCCTACTAAAGAGATATTCAAACTATTTAAGGCAATAGAAATGACTTAACCTAATCTCTGCCTGTATATTTAATAATAACATAATGGAAGACTGACTATAAGGAGAATAGATGAGGAACACAGAAATACTAGAGGCAGTAGACTAGTACAATATTTCAAAGAAATTCTAAATAAAACTAGGACACAGGCAAAAATGTACAAACAAGCAGGCAAGACAAATCTCAAAAAACATCATTTTTGTTTTGTGAGACAATCTCAAGAAGCCCAGGCTGGTCTAAAATTGACTATGTAGCGAAGGAGAAGCTTAAACTTCTGATCTCCCTGTCTTCTCCCAAGTGATGGAATGACAGGCAGCAGTACCAAGTCCTGCTCTAGGTGGCGGTAGGGTTTGAGTCCAGTGCTTCCTACATGCTAAGCAAGCACACTACCACCTGAGCTATATTCCGTGCCCTTAAAAACATAAATTTTAAAGACACACAGCTTCAAGAATTCTATAACCATAAACAGATTAATATAAATATTGCCATATGAGATTAGAGAAGGGCTAATTCTGGAGCTTCGGCTCCCAAACTAACATGTGGTAGTATGTAGTAATAAAGCAAATCTCATACTCAGAATCAAGAAGTTTTCACCCTAGGTCAGCATTCCCTAAAATTACCCTACAGCGAAGCATGAATTATACAAGAATACAAATTCTTACTTCTTGTCTTTTCTTAAGATCTTCTTTGGCTGCTCCAAAGCGTTTGGTTAACCTGGCTATCTTGGCCTAAAAGAAAACAAAATGGTATTATTACATCAATTAATAGTCTGCTTTACACAATAAGAAACCCAAAGATGACAGAGTCTTTAGAGCAAGGAAAGACACACTGACTATAAAATACATACTTGGAAAACATGGAAAATCATAGGAAACCTACTGTGATCCCTGAAATAATCACCAAATGTAAGTACTAACAGGTTAGTCTGCCTCCTCCCAGAACTAGGGGTGTTTACTCAACATGAGGGCATTTTAGAATATGTAAGCTTTTGTTTTGTGTTAGTTTTCGAAATGTCTGTAACCACGCAACTTTCTTGCTGAAAATTATACAGTGGGCACAAATGTAACTCATGAAGATCCCTCGAAAATCTACCTGGATGTAGATATAGTATACTCAATCGTTTGAACATGCACTTTTCTACTAGATAAGTAGATTACATAAATGCCATCCCTACTGGAAGCTGAATGCTTCGCAATGCCTTACTATGGTCAAATAACACTGTAATTAACAGCTCTGTTCTTTAACAGCTGGGTGTGGTGGCAACATGTTTTAACCTTAGAGCTCAGGAGGCAGAGGAAGGCAGAGAGGACTGTCTCATCTACGTATCAAGCTCCAGGCAAGCTGGGGTTACACAGGGAGACCTTGTCTCAAAACCAAAATTAAATAAATAATAATAAAAAAGAAAAATATTTCTTTAGGGCACACTCACAGAGATGGGATTCTCAGTATATGTTCTAATGGATGTTGTCTAAATGTTTTCCATAAAGGCTTTTCTGATTCTCACCAGCAATATAGATGAAAGCTTAAAAGTTACCCTTTGAAAGGTACCCTTTGAAAGGTAGGCTTAGGAAACAAACAGCCCTTTCAGGTCTAACCTTTTTGCAATTCTGAGAGAAGACAATTCAATACTCTTCTGCCTTCCACACTAAGTGAAAGGTCAAAGACAGGAATGTGAAAAAAGAAAAGTGTCTGGCTCCTGTCTCTCCTCACGAGGAAGGAATGCTGACTGGTCTTCTGCTTGCTTTGGTTTGCCTCTATGTGTTTTGGTGTTTCCCCCACTATTATTTCTCATACCTTCACAGCATGTTTTTCTTCTCTCCCAATTTGCGTCTTCTGTTTTGTCCTGTCTGCAGTCCCTCTTCTGTTTTTCATTCATTATTTCATTTTTAAATTCTTAGTTTATCAGGTATGTATCCCTAAATCCTTTCTTTTTTATCCTAACTAGGGGTGCAGCTGTCATTTTCAATTTTCTTTATTATATTTAAATATCTAGTTTGGGCAAAAAAGATGGCACAGCACTTGCTGCCAAACTTGACAACCCGAGGTCAATTCCTGGGACCCACATAATGAAAGAACCCTTGAAGGTTGCCTTCTGACCTTCAGACGTGCTCACACACACAATTTGTTTTTTAATAGCAGTTGTTACTGTTGTATGCTTTCTCTTTTAAGTAATAAAGACTAAAACCTCAAGAGAAAACAGTCAATTAACACAACCTCCCACATAAAGTCAAAAGAAGTATTCATCACAACAGACACATAAATTAAAATACAGAAACAGAAGAAATATGATATTTCTCCCAAAGTGAATAGCTCATCAATAACTGAATCCAAAGATAACAGAATCACTGAAATACCAAAGGATACCAAAATTTAGTTTTAAAAAAGAATAATCAAAAAAAAAAAAAAGGATAATTGCTTCAAAGTAAATTCAAAGAGCAGCTAAATGAAGTAAAGCAAATTTAATATTTAGATACAAAACTCAACAAAGAGATTCTGGGAAAAATAAGTAATTAATGGAAATATTAGAAATAAAAAGTTCAATAAATCAAAACAACTCCATGGATGCATCATCAAAAAACTAGATCAACCAGAAGAATATCAGGGGTTGAAGACAAGGTAGAGGAATTCTTACATTTATATAGTAATAAAGGAAAATCGCAGTAACAAGGAATCCCGAGCACAGTTTTCAAGAACGCCAGAACACTATCAAGAGAAAACCTACAAATCCCTGAGGTAGAAAGTGCTTCGAGATACAAACTAAAAGCATAGAAAATCTATTCCATTAAATTCTATTAAATTACAGCAGATCTTGGGAAAGTTGGATATTCAAGCATTAGGGGTATTTGGACCCATACTAGGTATGACCAGAAAGAGACTCTTCATGTCATATTATGGTTAAACTGTCAGGAGTACTCAACAAAGAATGCTGACAGCTAGGAGAGTGAAGTGCGGTCTTACAATGGCAAACTCATCAGAACTGTATCACGGCATAAGGAAAAATCAGGAAAACACAGAATGGCATATTTCAAGTCAATCACTACTAAGCAAGTTACTCTATGTAGCAAAAGTTATCCTTTAAATTCCATCGGAGAGGGAAAAAAAAGATATTTCAAACTAAATCAAACCATATCCACTTAAATCAGCATTAGAAAATACTTAAAGGAATCCCACATACACAAAGAAGAAAGTCACAGTCATAAAAGCTTAGAAAAGAATAAATTTCATGAGAACAGATGAACAAATAAGAATTCAGAAAGAAGAGCAGGGTGTGGTGGCGCACACCTTTAATCCCAGCACTGGAGAGGCAGAAGGCAGGTGGAGCTCCATGAGACCAAGGCCAGCCTGGGGTTACAGGCAGACCATGTCTCAAAACAACAAAAGAATTAGGAAAGAATAAAACATTGTTGAACCAGCAAACTTCTAAGATGAATGAAGAAAGAAAAAAAAGTGATACTCAAATCAATGGGGGAAAGGAGACACAGAAGGAGACAGAATTACAGGAATGAGCACATGATTATCAATAATAATTAAAGGCAAATCATCTTTAGTCTCCAAAGATGGAACTAGGCTGATTAGATTAAAACAGAAAAAAGCCAACTGATTACTGACTGCAAGAAACACATTGCATAACAAAGAATTAAAAGGGAAAGCACGAAAAATTGCACTCCAAGCAAATGGTATCTGAAAGCAAGCTGGAGTAGTTATATTCCTATCTGATAAAGAAGGATGCAAGCCAAAATTAAAATAAAGAAGGTCATTACAATACTAAGGGACAAATTTAACAACCATTTTCATTCTCCTTACAGATTTATCAGGCAATGTGCCACACATTTTGAGGAGCTCAACCACATGAATAAAGAAGCATTTTGAAGGGGGAAAAATGAAATCAGAGGCTGGAGTAGTTCAGTTGTAGAGTGTTTTCCAAGTATGTACAAGCCCTAGGTTTGACCTCTAATACCACATAAACCAAGTGTAGTGGTGCAAGCCTATAATCCTAACACTCAGAAAGTGGAGGCAACTATATGCAGAAAAAGTAGTTATTGCCAGGTGTGATGGTGCACATCTTTAATCCTTGCCCTTTAAGAGGCAGGTGGGTCTTTGTGAAGAAAAAGTAGTTATTATTACTTTGGATTAATAAACTAACATTTTTATCAATGGATGAAGTACGCTGATATAAAATGAATGACTCAGAAAAAAGAAAAGAGAAAACAAAAAAAAAAGAAGAGAAAAAATAAAATTAATGACTCACAAATATTAATTTGTACTTAATGGCACGTTATATACCAACTTTTCTTGAGAGACTAAAAAACAATGTTTTTAGACACCAAGTTAGGTAATTTCTGAGTTTCTGCTATGGGTTAAATTATGTGCCCCAATACTCATATAATAAAGTCTATACATCCTATACCTCAGAGCCATTACAGAAGTAATTGATTAATGAGGTCAGATTGGACTGGAGCAGATCACTAATCTAATTAACATAAGTAGTAGCTTTTTTTTTTTTTTTTTTTTTTTTTTTTTTTTTTTTTTTGGTAGAAATAGAAAGGTCATGGTGCAGCTTGCTCAATTGAACTCACAAAGATCCTCCTGCCTCTGCCTCCCAAGTGCTAGGATTAAAGGCATGTGCCACCATGCCTGGCCATAACTAGTATCTTTAAATAAGAAAAATTTGGACACATACATACAGAGAAAATGCCATATGAAAGCAAAACCAGATGGAAATGATGCTTCCACAAAGCTGTAAGCAAACCAGCAGAACTGAAAGAACAGAACAAATATTCTTCATCATAACACTAAACCTCAGAGAACACTAATCCTGCTGACACCTTCATCCTGGGCTTCTCTCCCCTAGAACTGTGGAATAATGCATGTTAGGTGACAGAGCCACCCAGCCACAGCTCTGTTCTCACAGCAGCCCTACCAAAACCCAATACAGACACCACGACTCATACACAGAATCTGAATGTACTTTATCGTCAACTTCAAATATATAAAAATGGTACATCATCAGAACATAAGTTATAAAAATGAAATGTGAGGTATAAAAATCAAAGCCACAGTACAAACCTGGAGTTCAGTAAGAACTGTTTTATGCCTTTTGTTGCATTCAATCTTTTCCACTCGTGTTTTCAATTCTGCCAAAGTTTTATCAAATACAGCACACTGTAGGGCATGCAATTTTTCTTCTAGTAACCACTGTATAACCTAAAGAAATACATATTCCTTTGTTACAAAAAGACAATCCACTAAGGAAAGAGCAGTAATCACTAGGTACTACTAATAATGCAGACTCATTTAGTGAATAAAATATGCTCAACTAACTTAATGAATAAAATTTATTTTTAAAAATCAGTGCTACCCACTGAAATGCTGTACTTTTAAATGTAGTACTACCTCAAGGCAGTAGTATTTGCTACAAAGATACAATTTCCAAAGAGCAGAATTTTGAAAATAATTTGAAGTTTTAGCATTTTTCTTCCCATCCTTCTTATTATGCTCAAAACATTTAAAATTAGTCAGAGGACAGCTTTAACATTTTTTTCTATTTAAAAGATTGGCAATTAAGACTGCCACTACAGGATCACCGTTGATACGCCATTTCTAAATGCTTATCCAGCATTCCGTACTACTTCACATGGACCACAACAAACAGGATCCTGGTGCGTAGCCATAGACCTTTCCTGACTGAAACCTGTTCTTGAGATATAAAGCCCCTGTATACAAAAATGCTCAAAATTCCTTCACAATTTCATCTTCATAATTATGACAGCACTATATGAAAAACTAAAGAGGCATTATTACCTTGATATGCATAAGAGAAAAGAAACTGGAAGAAAATACCAATTTTTAATTGTCTTTTTTTGGACTTGTATCTTAGCTGAAAAACTTTGGTATATAATTTCATAGAAATATACAAGACCCTGAAAAACAGGTTTGGTGACTCACACCTGTAATACCATCACCTGGGAGACGAGGGCAGAAGGATTGTTCCAAATTTAAAGTCAGCCTGGGCTATGTATGAATTCCAAGTCAGCTTAAGCTACTGTGAGCTATTGTCTTGCAAAGAAAAAGAATAAGGCCCTGAGTTCCATTTCTCTCTACAAAAGGCATTTGCTATAAAGGTTTATGAACACATTTTGATTTTTCTGTGTGGGCATGTGTGTGTTCATGCCTGTGCCTGTGGATAACCAAGGCTGACATCATTAGTTGTCATCCTTAATCACTCACCACATTATTTTTTGAAACAGGGTCTCTGAATGGTTGATCTGGAGTTCATCTACAGGCTAGACCAGCTGGCCGCTGAGCCCCTCGGATTCTCCTGCCTCCACTTTCCAGGGTACTAGCTGTAACTACAAGACTGTACCCACCATGCCTGGCTTTTTATGTGAGAGCTGGGACCTGACTCAGGTCCTCATGTTTTACCCACTGAGCCATCTTCCATTTTCCATGATTTGAAAAATACACGTTAACAATTATTTTCATCACACTGATGTCTGGCAAGACTGAAATATGGGGAAGTTTCAAAATTATTTACTTTGAACATTCCTTTTCCCTAGTGTCTCTAAAGCCTGGTCTCTAATATTAACTCTACAGTATATAAAAAAGGTTTTAGAATGTACAGACTTAAACTTATTAAGATTATTATAAAGATTAAAGCTTAGTATAAAGATTTAAATATAATAAAATACAAGCTGTTTTGCTTGCACTATAAGATAACGTTCAATATGGGAAGAAAAGCTCAAAAACAGTTTAGCTTTATTAGAGCAACAAAGAATTGTCTTTTCTCCCTCCTATTTTGCTAATCACTACTATCTCCTTAAAAAAAAAAAACTGTCCAGAAACATAAGGATTTTTAAAATCAAGTCACCAAAAATACTTACAGGTTTCATAACCTCAGTCATTTTCTCCAAGTTCTGATTGGAGATGTCAAGTTAAACACAGAATGTTATCATGAAAAATCAAGAAGAAAGAAGATAGTAGTGTTTTTTTATTTAATACATCTGTGTGTTGGTTTTGTTTTGCTTTGGTTTTTTGGTTTTTTTTTTTTGGTCTTTTTGAGACAGGGTCTCCCTGTAGCCCCAGCTGTCCTGGAACTCACTATGTAGACCAGGCTGGCCTTGAACTCACAGAGATCCGCCTGCCTCCGAGTGCTGGGATTAAAGGCATGTCCCACCACGCCCAGGTGCTTTGCTTTTTAAGACAAAGATCTCCTTGTAGCCCCAGCTGCCTGTAACTTGCTAAATAAACCAAGCTGATCTCAGAGAGATCCACCTGCCTCTGACTCCCACGTGCTGGGATTAATAGCATGCACCACCATGTCCAGCTTACGCAATACATTTTTAAAATGTAATTTACAACACCTTCTGAAGCTTCTGGTTAATATCTCCTTTAGCTGTAATCTTTACTTGAAATTCTGCCTCATATTCTTCTTCCATATATCGCCGGCGTTTGGACTGCACATTGTCCATGTCCTCTGATTTAGAACGTTTTCTTCGGGAAAGTTCATCTAAGAACAAAAAACCAACTGATTAGGTGGATGTTTTAATTATAGGCCTTAATACTATGGTCCTCAGCAAACTGTTTTTTAGCACAATAGCAATCTCCATCAAACATTTTACAAATTGTTTCTGAGATCAGAAGAGTAGAAAGTTTTTAGCTTGAAATTTGAAATAATTTTCAGTGTGCTGAATAAGAACATCATAATGGCTTAGCAATACACACTGCAAACACGGAGCATTCTTTCCTTGAAGTTTTCACATTAAGAGGAAAAGCTGTCTAACATCTGTGTCATGCAGATGGTAGAAACCTCTCACATTCCTTCCCTCTGCTACATTTCATAACACACAAATACTCTAACAATATTCAATATTCACCCTTACATCACAGACTCCTATTAATTATGTCTAGTTTGAATTATTCTTCAGTAAAAGTAGAGAAAAATGTGGGGGGTATACATATATGATTATGTGGGTATGTCCATGTGCGTATTTGTGCACCTGTGTGTCGAAGCCAGAGGTCAACACATTGAGTACCTTCCTCAACGGCTGAGTACCTTCCTCAATGGCTGTCCACCTTGTTTTTTGAGGCATCATCTCTCACTGAACCTGGAGATTTGGCTAGGCTAGCTGGCCAATGAGTTGAGGAGGTCTGCAGGTCCTGGTTCAGCCCTGCCCCCATGCGAGGGTTGCAAACATACATCTAAATGCACCTGGCTTTTTTACACAGGTGCTGGGGATTCAAACTGGGATGCTCATGTATATGAGGAAGACATTTTATTGACTGAACCATCCCTCTAACCTCCAAATAGGGGGACTTCTTAATCATTCAACCTGACGTAAGTAAAAATACTCGAATATATTCTTAACAGATTTCTAATGAATTCCAGCTACATAAAATAATTAAATTAATGTGATAAAAGTACCTTTAGTACAGAATCGACATTCAAAGATTTTCACTTTAAAAATTCAATGCAGACGTGGTGGTGCACACCTTTAATCCCAGGATTAATCCCAGGGAGGCAGAGGCAGCAGATCTTTGTAAGTCCAAGGTCAGCCTGGTCTACATAGCGAGTTCTAGGCCAGCTGGGGCTACATATAGGGAGACCCTATCTCAAAAAGACAAAAAAAAAAAATTGCTATTTCAAATGTTTGCATTTATGAAATTATAGGCAAATTTTAACTGCCTTTTCAACATTTAAAAAATTAAAAAAATAACATCATACACAAATGTCCCTTTATGACCAAATCAATCCTTCTCCATAAGTAGTTTCTTTTGCACTGTACGACGATGTTCAATATGGGGGACCTAAAGAAAAGTTCAAAACTACTTAGTTGTATTACAATAACAAATATATCCACCTCTGTGTGTTTTTTAAATATTTTATGAGTATGAGTGTATTGCCTACATGTGTTTAGGTGCACACAAGTCATGCAATGCCCAAGAAGGTCAGAAGGGGGCATTGAATCCCCTGGAACAGGAATTCCAGGCGATTATTAGCTGCCGTGTGGGTGCTGGTAACTGAACTAGGTCCTCTACAAGAGCAGTCAATGCTCTTAACTGCTAAACCATCTCTCCAGCCCCACATTTATTTTTTAATGAAGCTCTATTTTACAACTTCTTTTATGTAGACACGAGACAGAGAGATACAAACCCTTCCTTCTGGCTGACAAATCTTTTAATCAGCCTACAACACTTAGCAGCATAGTTCCTTCCTCGTGTAGCTTAAAAACCTTACCTAGCTAGGAACATACCGCCATTCACTTAGAACAGCCCAGGCATTCTGACTTCAAGTCTCCCTCCTAAACTTAAAAACAACTTTTCTCAAGATCTCAGCGCCCAAGTAGCTGCAGCTGGCTTGTAAACATACTTTTCTCAGAAGGCCGCTCCTGTTCATTTCTTACTTGTTCTTCGTCCTCAGGTTTGCTGTCCTTTTCCTTTGTTTCTACTTCTGTAAACAGGACAAGAAATGAAATTCATAGCAGCTCATTAATTTACATTTTTGGAAAGAACTCATTTTATAAAACATTTTATAAAATCAAAATGTCAAAATAATGAAACTTGTGGATAAAACTTTGGGGCATGTGGAAGTACAAATTGATAGAAAAGGTAATTGGGCTGCTGGAAATACAAGGTTTTACAGGCCTTTGCCCTTTGAAAAAATCCTCACCTCATCAAAGCACAGAATCACCACAGCTTCAGTTAGAATAACTAGAAGGCATCCTTAACACAGAAGCCATCGTGTCAACAATCTGCCTCTTTAGTGACATCTGTTCCCTCTCCTCTTGCACGTATCAGGCTTAGTCTCAGACTCCTTCATTCTACCACAACAGTTCCTCCTACAATGAATTCCCATTTTCAAATATGACTGGGTTCAGGGACTTAAGATATATTCACTGGGCTTTAGAATTAAAAGGATTAAAATATATTCCTGAGTTTTCTGTCACATCATAGAAAGAACTGGGGATATGAAAACATATTAATTAATTAATTAGTTGAAAATAAGAGCCGTATTTCTTTTTTTTGTTCCAACAGTCTCTAGGAATTGACTAAACTGCTTTTTCTTAAAGATGTTACTGGGTGCCTATGGAGCTAGAAGAGGGCGTTGGGTCCCCTGAAGCTGGAGTTACAGTGGTTATGAGCCACTATGGTGCTGGGAACCAAACCCAAAGCTGCTAAGTCTCACTGTGCTATCTTCTATAAGCACACTCTTGTCTTTTAACCACAGTAAACAGTAAGCTCACTAAAGGCAGGTACAAGATCTTCTAATTTTATTAACTCTAAAAACCTTTGAAAAAGGGCTGAAATACAGATTTAATAGTCTGCTAATGGATTTTAACTTTAATAAGGTATTGAGTATAGGTGGAAAAAAGGTGTGCTGTGAAGAATTAAAGAGATAAAACATACATTGGAGGATTTAATTTCCCATTTTCAGAATTATACATTATAGCAATTTAATTCAACTAAATAATGGACTAAAATTATTACCTTAGATTAAGAGTTGGCAATTTGGGGGTGGGGAGGGTGTGGTAAATGGTCAAAAGGGTATATAGTCTCCTACATAACTACTTACTGCTATCCACTATCAGGAATAGCAGTAAACCACATGTAGTAAGTAAACAAATAAGTTTGGCTCTATTCCAGAAAAACTTTAAGCGCAGATGGCCATTGTCTCCCAATCCTTGTTTTAGGCTGGATCCATGAGAATATCTGAACTAGAACAAATTCCTATAGACTAAATTGAAAACAATATATCCATTAGGGAAAAAAGCATAGAAAAGTAACAGATAGCCCATATATAAGCAAATACAAAAGGCCAATAAACAGATTCTCAATCTTAGAAAATATGTCAGGAAAATGTGGCCTGTAGATAATGCAACTTCTCTAGACATTTTCAAAGTTTTATACCAATACAAAAGGGCAAATACTATCTCCCAAGTATATTTTTGTGTTTCTTTTTTTCTTGTTATTGTGTGTCTAAGGAACACAGCATGAATATGGAGGTCAGAAGACAACTCTGTGGGGTTGGTTCTCTTCCACCTTTACATGGTTTCTCGGGATCAAACTCATATCAGACCTGTGTGGCAGGCAACTTTACCACTGAGTCATCTAACCTGCCCACCCTGTACTTAATTTTATTTATTTTTAATGTTTTTAATTATCTTCGTTACACATTTAAGGAATATCTTTTAAAATGAAAGGGGTAGCTACAGAGATGGCTCAGCAGTTAAGAGGACTGGCTGCTCCTGCAGAGGACCCGGGTTTAACTCCCAACACCCATATGACAGCTAACAACCATCCATAAACTCCAGTTCCACGGAAATTCAATACCCTCTTCTGACCTCCATGGGCATTGCACAACATGGGTACACTTACCTACATGCAGGCAACACATGCATTCACATAAAATAAAAAATGAATTAAATAATAAAACGAACTTCTATGTCCAAATATATTAGCGAGCACAAAAAAAAAAATCTTTTCTAACAAGAATGTTTATTAAGAAACTGAACTAAAGACCCCATTTTTTTTTTACTTGCCTACCTACAAATCAAACAGCTTAGGTGCTCATTAAAACAGAAACAAATATGTAGCAAGATGTATTCGTTCAAAGGGAACTGCATTATTTTCTCATTCAATACTAGTCTGAAAACAGATTTTGACTTGTAACTAATGTTTCCCAGAAGGCTCTTAGGTCATTTAATTAAAACGATTATGAATGAGGTGAAGAAAATATGTTTGCAGCTCTTGGCACTAGCACAGAAACAGCAGGAGACTTTACTGTTTTTGTTTTTAAAGAAAAACCTGGGAGGGAGAAGTTCCATTTTCTTTTCATCTCTCGCTTTTAAACTCCATTGAGTCTAGCTGTCCATTCCACCTTCATCAAAGCTGCTCACTGTCGAGTCCCCTATCATTCCCAGGTTAAATATTTCTTTGCTTTAACTTAAATACATAGCACCCACTTGATACAGTAACCAGTAAGTCTCTCTTTAAAATATCCTCTTGGCTGGGAGTGGTGGCCCATGACTTTAATCCCAGCACTTGGAGGTGGTTTTCTGTGAAATGTAGGCCAGCGCCATCTGTGTAGTGAGTTCCAGGCCAGATGGGGCGACAAGAAGACCCTGTCTCAAAAGGACCCAAAAATTAAAAATAAACTGTTCTTGTAGGTGATGGGGATGCAGCTCAGTAGAAAGCACTTGCTGGCATACATAAAACCCCAGGTTCACACACAAAGCAGTAACTAAGTCTCTCTTTAAAATGTCCTCTTGGCTGGGCATGGTGGCCCACGGCTTTAATCCCAGCACTCAGAGATGGTTCAGTCCCCAACACTGCAAAGACAAAATCCATTCTCTTCACCTGTCTTCTTCATGGTGCCACAACTGTTGTTTCCCACTGGCCTTTGCTGGTTCTTCCTCACAGCCTCATCTATAAGCACTGGAATGCCACAGGGTGAGTTCTTAGGAGCCTTCCTTCTCCACTAATACTCATTCTGAGGTAAATGCACACTTACTTTATGTAATGACATATGCTATCTAGTCTTAAATATTTCTCTATAGTCTAATATTCTGCCCTGAAATTCAAACATACATCAAATTTGGGCAATAGCAGTCATTTAAAACTTATGTTCACCCTATATTTCCCTTTTCAAATGTGCTTCACCATTGGTCATGACAAAGAAAACACTGAACTGCAACTTATGCTGCAAGCATACAACTAAAGTTTTTCACCAAATATAAACAAATATAAATGGGATTCAAAAAATAAAGAATTTTATCTGAATACAATAAACAGTAACAACACCCTGTCCATAGATTGCGTGTAGTGTATGTGTGTACAAGCATACATTCATGCAGGTGCATGTGTGTATAAAGTGTGTTTGTGTGGAGGCTAGAGGTCAACATTGGGCGTCTTTCCTCTATTGCTCTCCAAATTATTTTTTTAGGCAGGGCTGCTCACAGAACTTACAGCTCACCCAGTCACCATCTGCCCAGGCTGGGATTATAGATGTGTACACTGTACCCTGTTTTTAATGAGCATAATGGACATCTAAACTCAGTTCCTCGTGCTTGCACAGCACTTACCGAGCCATCTCTCCAGCCCCAACTGCCCATAATTTTAATCGACTATATATTTTTTTAAGAAACCAGCCTCTTTACTCAGCTTCTAAAATGCCAAAATCAGTTAAGTTTTCTTCTTACCACTGTAATTTCTGTCATTACTAAACTAAAGCAAAATCAGGAGAACTCAGAACTCTACTGTCACGCATCTATCTTTATTAGCATTATTTTATATTCATTTTGTTTATCTTAAGATGAAATGAAAAAAGAAAAAATTAACTACAGATATTCTGAAATCAGAAACACAATTCAGAAGGAAACAATTCCAGAGCTTAATATAAAATCTGATTTACTCTAGAATGGAATTTTCTCCTTAAATTTTTTTTTAAAAACTCCAGTGGAGAATTTATTTCTCCACAAGAAATAAAATAAAATGACCAAAAGGGAGAAGAAAATGATGCGCTCTTGGGGGGCAATGACTGTTACTAAGAGACACAGCAACAAAGACCCAGCGAGATGCGAGGCCCCTAGACCTCACGTGAGCATCGCTATCACTTCACTGAAAACAGTCAGGGTCTAGCAAAATAGAAGTCAAAATTCAGGTGAGCTGAAGACTTAGCAGAAGAAACAGTATACTAGCTTTGTAAGCGTGACCTGAAATATAATTCTCAAAGACTGTGTATTATGGGATGCATATAGAATCTATAAACAGGCGTGGACCTTGGCTAATACTGTTTGAACTTTCCCAGAGAAATTTTACTATGCTAGTCTCCTTAAGACTATGATTTTAATCATTTAGTTTTTAGCGGTATGCAACAATTTACTACTGTCTCAAGACTTATTAGAATACATTAACTCTTCTATTCTTAAAAAAAATTTTATTTATTATTTCTATTTTATGTGTATGAATGTATTGCTCGCATGTGTGTAAGTGCACCTGTGTCATGCAATGCCCACGGAGGTCTGAAGAAGGCATTCAGATCCCCTGGAACTGGAGCTACAGATGGTTGTTAGCCACCATGTGGGTGCTAGGAATTGAACTGGGGTCCTCTGCAAGAGCAGTCAGTGCTCTTAACCACTGAGCCATCTCTCCAGCCCCTAGTTCTTCTATTTTTATAAAATTAATAACTTTTCTACTTGCTTTGTTTTGCTGCGGTAGGGTCTCATGTAGTCCAAACTAGCCTCAAATTCCTGATGTAGCCAAGGTTGACTTTGATTCTCCTGCTTCCACCCTTGTGCCACTATATCTGGCTCTATTTCTGTAAACTCCTTAGTCAAGAATTACTGATGCTGTGGAGAGCTGAGGCTATATTAACAAAACCACAGTACCCAGCAGGGGAAACCTCCCCTTGAGTTGTTGGGCAGGGTAGTCCAAAAGACTCCTAAAATAACACAGGCTACTGCCACAGCCTTTGACTGCCTCCCAGAACTTGAAGACAAGGCACACTTCAGACACAAGATTTGGAGCAATCCTGCTGGAACTGACCTAGAAGTCTCCTCCATGAAGACTAGTTTTCATAATATCAGAGGATACTATGCAAGCTGCCAATCAACGGTCCAAGCCAGCTGTAAAGCCTATGAACCACAGTGACTGGCCCAACAAACTCTCTATTGGTGCAGTAGTGGCACCTTTTTTTTGTTGTTGGAGGCAATCAACAGCTGTCTAATTGGACAATGAGAAGGAAATCATGCAACACAGCCAAGGACACACAGCAGGAGAGGTCACAGCCCTAGAGAAAAACCTACTTCTGTCATTTCCCTAGACCACCATGATTTACTATATTCTAAATACATATCCTTTTATTTACAGATAGGTATACCTCTCACCACCCATCAAAGAAGCTTCATTTTGCAATAGATGGAGACTATAAAGTTCCACAACCGGTCAAACAGAACAATGACTGTGAGGTGCTCAGCCCTAAGTGACACATCTACAACGCAACCTTACATTCAAGGCTCAGGGAACATAAAGTAGGGGCAGAAAGATTAAGAGCCAGGGGGCAAGACACCTGCTGCTGGTTAAGGCATTCTAGACATGATGGGAAATCTCCACAGTAATCTAACAAGATCTGCATAATGACAAAACCTGTTCACATGTCAAGGTGGGGGCAGAGGGGAGATGGCACACTATGTCACTGGGTCCCACCTTTAAGATGATGAGCTATAGGCAATCAATGGATACTGAGGGAAAGAGAATCGGTTTTCTCCAGAGACTAGCTCTCTGAGAGGTTATGGAATCCCAAGTGGAAATTCCTAAACACAGATGCACACAAGCACCACTAAATGGAGTCACTGAATTATACACATACAGATATAGAAACATATGTACGTATATATAACAATAACAACGAAAAGGATAAGAAATCGAGAGGGAGTGGGATCATGGGAAGAGCTGGTGGGAGACTTGGATGGATGGGAATAATGCTAAGACAATAATCATTTACGGAATTCTCAAAAATAAAAAAAAATTAAAGATTATCTAGGAGGTTAAAAAAAGAATTACTGATGTTAAAATTATTAAGCACACTTTATTAAACAGCCCATTAAAGCAAATCCTTAATCTGCTAACCTGGAGAGCGCGTCTTACTTTGTGATGTAACTTCAGACTCATCTTTTTCACATGAAATATCCTCTTCATCAGAGAGGACCAAAAAGGCTTCTTTTGGCAAACTCTCACTACTTTCTTGTTTTGATGGCGAACCAAAAGAACCTTCCATTTTCTCCTCCAAATCTTGATTTGTCTCATCAATTGGAAGGAGAGACGTTTTTGAAAAGCAAGTGAGTTCATCCTCAGCAGGTGCAAGTTTTTCCAAAATAGGAATGATCTCATCAGTCTCCATGGAATCTGTATTTTCTAAGATGCCCTCATTCCTGTCATCCTCTGTAACATTTTCACTAATGGTCTCCACAATGTCTGCAGAATTCTCATCCCCGTTCTTTTCACTCTGGTCAACTTCCATACTGCTAGATATAGCCTCATCTCCAAGGGCAAGCTCGGTAACAGGACCCTCCTCTACCTTCTTCTCATTCTCTGGAGGTAGATCGGAACAAATAATTGCACTGTGTGTTTCTAGAGTTTCTTCCTTATCATCAACATTACTGTTAGCTTTATCTTCTTCATCTAATGAGTCCTTACTTGGAATTTGGTCTAACTTTTCATTATCTTCATTTTTTTCAAAAACATCATCATCTTTATTGCTATTCTGGTCATTCTGCTCTGTATCGTCAGATTCGGGAACTGGTTCACAAACTGGCACAGAACTTGGTTTGAGAGTAGTATCAAAGGCTGGTTCAGAAGTCAGTTCACTAGGGGTTGTTTCACCAGAGGACAGTTCACCAGAAGCCCCATCATCAGAGACCAGATTATCAGGAGCCAGTCCACTACTGGCAGGCTCTCCAGAAGACTGAGCAGCAGAAGGCAGCTGTTCTGAAGGTGAATCATCGGAGGTGGGATCACTGGAGGTGGGATCATCAGAGGCAGCATCACCAGAGGTGGGATCACCAGAGGCAGGATCATCAGAAGCACAGTCATCACAAGCTGCTTCCTCAGAGGCCGGTTCACAAGTGGCCACTGCACCAGAACCTGGTTCACCAGAAACTGGTTTACCAGAAATCAGTTCACCAGGGGTGGAATCATGGGAGGCCAGATCCCCAGAGGTGGGCTCTTCAGAAGCAAGATGATCAGAGGAGGGCTCACTAGAGGTGGTATCAGTAGAGGGATCACCACAGAGAGGCTCACCAGAGGGATCATCAGAATGGGGTTCACCAGAGGAAGGATCACCAGAGGCAGAGGAAGGATCACCAGAGGGAGTGTCACCAGAGGGAGTGTCACCAGAGGGAGTGTCACCAGAGGAGGGATCACCAGAGGGGGGGTCACCAGAGGAGGGATCACCAGAGTGGGGGTCACCAGAGGCTGGTACTCCAGTGGCCAGATCACTAGAGGCTGACTGATCAGAGGCTGGTTCAGGCGTCAGTTTAGAAACAGGATCAGGAAGTACATTATTAGGAGACAATGGTTCACAATGTGAATCATCATCCTGCTTGACTTTTACATTAACATTGAGGGTACAGGGTGTTTCTTTCCATTCTGCTTTAATCTCATCAGGCTCAGAACAAATTGCTTCAACACCATTCACTTCTTCCCTATCCTGAATATAATCCGTATTTTCCAAAGGTGATGTTGGATCCAAATCCCCATTTTCATGATTCCCATTTAAAAGCTTCACGTCAGTTTTCAACAGCTCTTCTCTGACTCTGTACACTGCTTCGAGTTGCTGGCGATCACTTGCTCTCATTGTTTTTCGAGCTTTGAAGACTTTTTTCTGAGGTTCTTCTATACTATCCATTTTGAATCTTTAAAAAGAAAAAAAAAGAAACAAAGTTTAATAATTAAAATAGAAGTTACCCAATTATAGATTCGTTGAAAATCGTAAGTAAACAATTTAGATGATATAATTTATTTTTTTTAAATATTTTATTTTTATTTTATGTGTATGAGTGTATTGTCTGCATGTATGTGAGTACACTGTATTGTGCAATGCCATGGAGGTCAGAAGAGGGCTTCGGATTCCCCTGGAACTGGAGTTAGACGGTTCGTAGCTGCCATGTGGGTGCTGGGAATCGAACCCGGGTCCTCTGTAAGAGCAGTCAGTGCTCTTAACCGCTGAGCCATCTCTCCAGCCCCTAACTCATATAATTTAAAAGTGACAATTAAAAAAAATGTAGCTCTCCACATGCCTTTAAGCCCAGCACTTGGGAGGCAAGGCAGGTGGGTCTCCCTGAGTTCAAGGCCAGTCTGGTCCATACCAGACAATCAATTACTAGCAAAAAACTGACTTGTCACATTCTCAATATGGAACTGAAAGCCAGAAAAAGAAAAGGAACATGAAAAAGTACACGAATAAAATGACGAAATAAAAAGGCAAGAACAGAAATAGCAGAAGAATGGAGACAATGATAGAGACAAAGACCACGTGAGAACATATGACAGCCATGACCTCGCAGTGCTGGATGACAGAGCAGCGATACAGGGAGGAACCACAAGCCAACTGTCCACTAAGTTTATAAAATATTAAGAAAAGAAAAAGGAGACAACTCACACAATGGTACAAAACATTTGCCAATCACGTAGCTGATAAAACTTGAATTAAAATATATTAAATATGTAAACGAGCATAAGAAACTGAAAAGTCAATATTAGTAATTTTAAAAAACAATCGAATATAATAAATGGGCAAAGGACTTGAACAGACATTTCTACAAAAAGGCCAGTAAGTCAATACTCCAAAGCAGTGATATGAAAAGATCATCAGGGCTGTACAAATCCAAACCACAACAGATAACACACTCACCAAGACAACGGCACTCAAAGAGAATAGAGGCTAGTTAGCCAGGAGGAGAAATTAAAACATTCCTGAGCCACGTATTATAAGTAAGTGGCACACTACTGTGGAAAAACCGTCACTTCCTCCATATATAAACAGAGTTGTCACACAGCTCAGCTAGTCCCTACTAGAAATATAACCAAAACAAACAAAAACCTGTATCACATAAAAACTTGTCCACAAATGCTTATAGCAACGCTGCTCATAAGAACCCAAAATCAAAACTAACCCAGTGCCCGGTAACCAATTAATGAACAAAGAAAATGTGATCTATCCACATAAATGGAATATTGTTCAATCACAGAAGAGTCACCTATTCATAAATATTACAACATGGATGACCCTTAAAAATTCATTGAGAGAAAAAAAGTCAAGCAATGGGGCTGGAGAAATGGCTCACTGGTTAAGAGCACCATTGGCTGTTCTTGCAGAAGAACCAGGTTCAAATCCCAGCCCCAACATGGTGGCTAACAACTGTCCATAAACTCCAGTTCCAGGGGATCTGACAGCCTCTTCTATTCTCCTCAGGCACTGCACGACAAGGATGCATTTGCGCACATACACACAATACATGCTTACACATAAGATAAAAATAAAGCCAAAAAAAAAAAAAGTCAAGCACTTAAAAGTCCACAAGCTTAATGACTTCACTCACACAATATTAGCCTGTCTGGAACAGGCTAATCCAGAGAGACTGGAAATAGTCAAAATTGTCCAGGGTTGGGGTAGAGTCAAAAAATGAGGGGCAGCTGCTAGTGTGTCCAAGAGTCATTTATGGGCTAATGGAACTATCTCAACACTGACTGTGGTGATAGTCACACAACAGCCAATGAATGCACAAAGAAAATCTGGTATATCCATGTAATGGAAATATTACTCAGCCATAAAAGGGTATGAACCACAACATGCATGAACCCTAAAAACACACTGGATGAAAGAAGCCAGGCACAAAACCCCATAGTAAATGATTCAATTTTTATATTATGTGCAGAATAGGCAAATCTATAGACAGGAAGATTAGTAATTGCCTAGGTTTGGAGGGTTTGGGGAAAAAATGTGGCATGATTGATAAAAGAGGACAGGATGCTACTACGAAGTAATGAAAATGTTCAAATTGTGGTGATAGCTACACAACTCTGTGAATATACTGAAAACCAACTATTGTGCATTTTAATGGGTGAATTATATGTAACTGTATCTCAATAAAATACAAAAAGGTA